AGAAAGGTGGAAGTGAAATTAAAATCATTACATTTCAAAACATGATAATATTATAATATAACATTCATTTACTTCTTCTGTACTCGAGTGTGAAAGCGAATCACCACTATCCTTTGAAAGAGAAGGTGACCGTCTCTTCAATGAATAATTCAACGGTTTCCTCGATTGTGCTGTCATATCCTTCACCCTCTCTCTTCTCTTACTCATTCTCTCATAAGCATTAGCAGCAGCCATACACTCTATGACATAACTAGCACTGATGTAGCTGTAGGAATGAAATGAATAGAAATAGACCGAGAGATTCTAAGTTGTGCTTTACCTCATTGCACACAGAATGAGGAGAAGTATGGTACCTAATGCTAGACCAGCTTTATTAAAGGCCTGAGGTAAAGCTAAAACGCCTGCGCCCACAATGAGGTTGAAGATGTAAGCGAAAGCAATCTATAGGAAAAGACTGGGATAGAAACAGTTGAAGTTTTTGTTTACTGGCGATGAGTAGGTGCCTATTTTCTTTTCACTTCTGCCTTCACCTTTCTCTGCCATTTCTGCGGATTTATTAATAACCACCAGTCAATAAATTCATATTTATAAATAAACTAATAGAGCATGCGCATAAACATAATCTGCCAACCATTAGTTACCAAGCAACTGCAAAACAATATGGCCGAAGGTAGAAAAAATTTAGTTTGATATTGTTGTATTAATATTATTATTATTACAGAGTCTGCTACAAGTTACTTAGAGAGAGAAATATTTCCAGTGCTACTGCCAGGATTAGAGGAAATGCTCCATGTTGCATCAACAACAGAAGTGAGAAAAATTATAATGTGATTAACATTTCTGGTACAGAAACGCAAGAGATTCAACTCGTTAGATTACTTAGTGGAGTACCTGTACAAGCACAATCCAAGAAAAGATGGTCGAGATGAGATAACACTTGCTAAAATTCCTTTTGTTGAGGAAGAATGGAAAAAGAAGTCAGTTATAATCCATTATATTTGGCACATCAT